TTTCTTCTGCTTTAATAACTGAAGAACATTCTTTTACTGTTTCAGTTAATAACACAGTATTATCTTCAGGTTTGGGAGTTGGTTCTATTACTAAAACTACTATACCTGCCTTTTAGAGAAAATCAACCATTCTCCAACCAAATAGATGTTGAGAGGGAATTTTTTCAACATATATGCCACCTATAATCAGATAGTTAGGACATCTTTATTTCGAATAATAGTATCTATATTTGGAAATATTCCTCTATTCTAAAGCTCTTGGGGAAGATATCCGCGTTTTGCTTCTGTTAACCATTAAAACAACTTCTCTTCTGTAGTTGGGGCTTTAGATGCCCTTTGTTGAATATAACATATATAATCTTTAATACATCACATATGGAATAACATTTGATTTGTCCCAGCATTTGTTTCTATATAACTACTGAAGATACAGAATGCTTGCTCAAACTTAGAATTGATGCAAGAAACCCCTATCTTTAATGTACTAGTATATGCAACAAGATTAATATTTTTCCATGCATTATCTACATTTCTAAAATCTTGAGGTTTCTCTATTGGGTCTGACTTATCATAATACTCTTTTATACATAATTCTGAGAAATTAGCTCTAAGAGTGCAAACAATACTTTAAATATTTCTCCTCTCATGACAGATGAGAAACGCACTTTTTCGCTTCTCAAAAGGTAATGATGTCATTTGCTTGGCCCATCTCTAGAGTTCTATCAATACAGTTTCTTTATCAGAAGCTAGACGAAATGTTTTACCTTTTTGAAGCTGGTATGTATTGTGGATAACTAAATATTTCCTATTTGGTCGAAGTCCTTTAATCTATTCAATATTAAGGTCAGTGAGATCATTATCTAGTACAATAACTCTTTCTGCCTGAGTAATTAATTCTGAGAAATTGGCAAGAGATATAGACAAACCACTTAAACGAGTTTGTGTTTGCAAGATTATTGATACAATCTCATCTAATACTAGAATGTAAGGATTTGGAGGACATTTATGTGAAGCATGGTCTAAAGACCTACATTTTTTATCACATTTATATTTATTAGTAATGCGATGTAAACTTTCTACCTGACATACTACCCTTTGATGCTCTCTCAGATTTATAGGTCCATCGATATTACAATATGATTTGAGATTGAGCCTGCTAGTAATAGTATCTGAATATGTGTGTCGAGTCGATGCTACGAGTAAGCTTGTATTTTCTGGAATATTTAAATTTTCTATAGCATATGTTTTTTCCGTTCCCCAACGCGAACCTATATAAATATCATTTTCTTTAGATAAAGGTTTTACATATCTTTCTTCATATCTTTCTGATGCGATAAGAGGTTCATTATATTTAACCCAACCTGGCATTTCTAAGAAGGGTTTTAGGAACTTAGAGCCCTTTATTTTATGAGAAATGAGTGGAGGAATATTATTTTTATTTTTTTGCTGAATTTTTTCTGTGATAGATGGGTTATTGAAAATTTTTCTTGATTTGTCATAATTTTGCTAGAAGCATTTCACAATGAACAAACTATCATAACGCGCGCGACTGAACCACCACTGATCCTTGTCATATATGCATTCACAAATTAGACATTCTAGATATACTTTCTGATTAAAGTATACAGAATACTGAGAATTTTTTTCTTTGATATCCTACCCTCCAAGATAATCAGAATATTCTTGTAGAACTAGATTAGTATATTTTTTTAGTGAATCTTGACCAACGATTATTTTTTTCTGATTTATTTTCTTTACACTAAGTATGCGAGGGCGTACTTCTAAATTCATATTAATTGGTGGTTAAACTCAGCTGTCATTGAGATTGTACTACTCATTATCTAGTGAGAATTGAAGTATGTGCTTCACGCGATCTTTTTTTGCTGAACCAATTAAGCGGAAACAGAAATTTCTATCAGGTAATTCTCGATCAATAAACTTTTTATATTTTTCTCCAGTTAATCTGAATACTAATTCTGTAAATTCTTTTAGCTCTAGATAATCAACAAGAAGAGCTGAGGCATATAGAAGGTGATAACTGTATTTATTATCCTTAGATGATATCATAATTACCAATTCTTTAATAATTTCTTTCTAACTACAATCAAAAATTCGATACAATGCTCTTACAAATGAACAACAAATGCTGAAAAACACATTTTTAGTATTAACATTTTCAGCTTCCATTTTTTCTTTTGATGCGTCAATATCAATTACTAGTCTTAAAGGCCGTTGCCCATTAATACATTCATGAATTCCAGGTAATCCATATATCTCGAATATGTCATCTATGACAGAAAACTTTGGTGCTTGTTTATCTTTTTAGTCAATTTGGATAATCAATCTATTGGTTAATTCCTCTCATGTATATGCATCAAGCAGACTAATTCCTTCTTTTGCTCCATAATTAGATAAGAGATAATCCCATAAATGTATATCTTCTAATGATCCTTTATTATTCGACATATCTCTAACAGGTAAAGAAACGATTTTACGGATTTTATTCATCACATCTTTTTGTGTAAATTTATCATCAAATCTTTTTTGCTGTTTAGGATATGTGGGACTTGCTTGCTCTATGGATGATGTCGTATTAGATACTTGTTCTTCTACTTTAGAGGGGTTGGAGTATTAGAGACTTAATAGTAGTCTCAGTATCTGACTCATAGTCAGAACTATAATCACTGCAATTTTCTGACCCACTTGAATAGTCATCACTTTCCTCACTCCCGTACTGGATCACTTATGCGCTTTGTTTACTCATTTTTGGTATTTGGTTTTTTTATTGGTATGTATTAATCTTTGTTCGATTATATTATTACAAAATAGTTTGGAAAAGTTTAAATTATTTTTTTTCATGCCTGGTAAGAGATGTTAAAAAAATTGCATTGAGTTTTAGTGAGATAAATGAAGAGAATTGCAATCTCGATTAGTGAATACTTTGGGTATATAAGTTCAGTAATATATTATAAGAATTATGGAAGTTATATACCCGTTTCAATGTGATGATATGTGTTCAGGGTATTCAAGTACGGTAATATATTATAAGAAAAATGGCAGAAGAATACTCTTTTAATGATATGTTTTCAGGTATGTTTTCGCATGTATATCATCAAGGGTATTTAAGTGTAGTAATATATTATAAGAAAAATAGCAGAAGAATACCTTTTCAATGATATGTTTTGGGTATATATCGTAGTAGAAAACTTCAGATTTATTTATAGTAAAAAATGATGTTATATACCTGCCCTCTTATGTGTCAGAGATACTAGCTCCACTATATATAACATATCTGATAGCATTTACACAATAATATAGCCAGATAGCATAGCTGATAGCAATTAAGTGATGCATATTTGATAGCAGTTCAGATAACGTGAATATAGCATACCCGATAGCAGAAATATAGCATACCCGATAGCATATGATAGCATACCTGATAGTATGAATATAGCATGCCCAGATAATGTGTATATAGCATATCTGATAGCAGAAGTGTGATGATGTAAACATAAAATTGTCATCATATTTTTTATAGATCGTGGGATATCCAAGTGTGCTGACATGACTACAAATTCGTCGTCATATTTTTTTATAGGTTGTGGGTACTCAAGTGTGATAACGAACTTGTGAACCAATCATTACTCAAATGATGATGCAAGCGCGAATTGTTCATCACTCGAATGATGATGCAAGTGTGAATCATTCATCACTCAAATGACGATGCAAGTGCGAATGATAATGAACTCGTGAACTAATCGTCACTCAAATGATAATGAACTCGTAAACTAATTGTCACTTGAATGACGATGCAAGTGTGAATCATTCGTCACTCTCATAAGTAGGTAACAACCTAATATAAGTAGGTATTATTATATATATAATGATACCTACTTATTAATTATAATTAGGTAGTATATTTATTTATATATTTAATTACAAGAGAAAAAATACTACTACAACAGATAATATTTGGATATTAGATAGGTAGCTGAATAAGTTTGGAATTGTAACAAAGAGAATAGTCTTAAAATTAGAATAGTTTTAATTTTTTGTATTAGTCTAAATTATAAGGTAATTAATTCTCTTAATAAAATAAAAAACAAGATTACCTAAGTAAAAAAAAAAAAATTATATAAATAATATAAATTATATAAGTTAAAATTTAACTTATTATCAGTGAATTAACAACTCTTTTTAACAATTATTTAGACTATATATAGAGCAAACTTTTATTAATAAATTGGATTTATTTGTATTAAATTTAGTATTTTGTATTAGATTTAATATACTTTAAAGTTTAGTTATCTACAAATTTTAAATAATAATTGTATTTTTAAAAAATTTTTATAAGTTCTTTAAATAGTTGAAAACTTGTATTAAAAATCTTATATTCTAAAAATTTTTTAAAAAATTCTAATAAACTTTTGTATTTTACAAAATATTTCAAAAATTTAATTAATAAATTTTTATATATTAAAAACTAGTAAAATTTCAAGTATTAAAAAAATTGTAATAGAGTATTTCAATTTTAATATTTTTTTAAACAACTATATTATATTTATAATTTTATTAAAAATTAAAAAAAATTATTATATAAAATTTTTTTTAAAAATTTTTTAAAAAATTAAAAAAACAAGACACAATTTAGTAACTCTTTCTGAAGATCATTTGTACCAAAACTTCTTGCAAATATTTTATTATTACTCAAAATTCTATTAAGTAAACTACTCTTAGGCTACTAAGTAAAGTTGTTCACAACAAAATTTTA